TAGTTAGGCTAGTTCTTGACCACTACTACCACAAGCCTTCTTAGATCGCTGAGGCGCTATAGATGCCTCAGCAGCTACCTGCGCTGCAGCAGTCCCATACTCCATAGTACCACCCTGCTGAATCCGCTTGCGCTTACGCGATTTTCGCTTAGTCATCTCTGCTAATTGCTCTTCAAGCTCATAGATTTAAGCATGTTAAAGCGCATTTTAATGCAGCATCAGCTCACCACCTTTTATAAGCTGGGAGAAACTAGCCTAAGCTGTAATAGGCAAGCAAGTAAAGGAATTGCGTACAAGCTTTAATTAAGATCTAAACTTATAGGTATTGCTTAGAGTCTTTAACTGCTATAGCGTCTCTAGGAGGAGGGGTTCTAGTAGGGTACACAGCTACACTTTAAGGCAATCTAATACAACCTGCGCGTTTATTAGGACTAGCCCTGCTGCCTTAAAAGCCTTTTAACAGTTCTGCTCTGTAAACATATTAAAAAACGCGTCCTTAAAGGCAGGGAGGAAGCCTTCTTTGTTAATATAGAAGACGCGTCAGCGTGCTAAGTCTCTAACACGCTAGGAGTACCTGCACTTCAGCAGTAAGAAGCAGACCACATCAAGCGGCTGGAGGATGTGCGATGAATGGGGGGGCATATAGAGGGTTAGGATCTTGTGTTTAAGGCAGTAGTCCTTAAAATGCTAGTTAAGGTAGCTCTTATAGCTGTCTAAAATAAGCAGCTAGTACCCCCCTACCTAGCGCGTCTTTGTATGCGCGTTAAAGTGCTTTAACTACTCTAGACTAAGCGTGTTGTTTGTCTAGCTGTTCTTAGAGACTAAGAGCTTCTAATTACGCAGTATTAAAGCCTCCTCCTACCAGGCAGAGATGTGGACGTGTCCCTTGTAGATAATGAAGGGCGGGGTCGCGTACCCAGCAGCGCAGATGCTCTGGATAACTGTAACCTACTCGCAATCGCCTAGCTGAACAAGCGCAGGTTAGGCGCGTCTCTCTGCACCTGTGACGACCTTTATAGAGCCAATCACGCCTATCTAGAAGCTAGTCTTATTAAAGTTATGTATATTGTTATTGTGGACGCTATACTTAGCTTTAGTCTCCTCTACTAGCTTAAACCACACGCTAATTATCTCTAGATCCTCCTAGAGTATTCTCTGCCTATCCTTTGCTTAATTAAAGGCTATTTTGAGCTCAGGCGAGCGCGTTACAAAGCAATCAGCCTAGCACTTGCCAATAGGCTTGCCACCGCGTACAGCTAGCAGTTTATCAGCTATATCTGCCACCTCGCACAGCTAGGGCGCAAATCCTCGCAAGTCAAGGTTGAGTATGTATTAGATAATTGTCTGCTGTTTAGTCGCAGTAAGCTTCTAGTAGTTAGGGGCAGCTTCTGCGCAAAATGTGAGTCCTTAGACGCGACAAGAGAGTGTACAGCAATCAATGTTAAATGCCTCTGCAGCAGCCTAGTGGCTTTAGAATTGTCTAGATTTTAAGGCTTTAATAGCAAGCTAAAGCCTCCCTTCATGTTCAAGTAATAACGTGTTTGGTAGTTGAGGCATGTTAGAGAGAGAGAGTAGGTAGAGGGCTTGGCAAGTTTTGGGACACTCGGTGATGTGGGACACTCGGTGATAGTTTAGGTTAGCAGGTCTAGGCAAATTGCCACGTCTATAAGGGTAACCTTAGTTGTCCTAGCTCTCCTACTTAGGAGTAGATTAATTAATCTATATCCTCTAACTAGCACCTTAGAATTCCTAGCCTATATAAAGTCTCTAGGTAATAGCTGTTAGAACCTGTAGACGTGGTTATAGTTATTAGTAATATAACAGGTAGAACCTAAGTTAAGTATAAATAACTTCTATAGTAGATAGTTAGTAGTGTCCTGTTAGTTTGCTGCACTAAGCACTACTTTAGTGTTAGCAATTTCTTAGCCCTCTAGTTAATTATCTAGAATTTCTAGGGTAGGGGTGTGTAAGTGCTTTACTACTTGTGTTCTTAATCTACTCTTACTTTGTGTGCAAAGTAGCCCTTAAAAGGTAATATCTTTCTTATATTTAAACTTAATAAGTTTAGAAATAATCTTATTTAGTTTCTACTACTTAGGAGCTCTGTCTTAGTTAATATAGTAGTAATCCTGTATAGAGTGGTGTTGTCTATATGTAGGGTATTTTGCTCCCCTAGTAGAAGTAGGCTCTTAATCTAAAGGCTGCTTAAACATAGTAGTTTTCCTACCTACTATATATTAATATTAAGGTCTGCCCTAGTTAGATAGCGTGCTTACAGTATATTAGGCGTCCCCTTTATAGCTCTAGGAGGCTGCACCCCCTTTAGCAAGAAACACTATATTGTTAGCTATAAAGGCCTTGTGCTATCCTAATCTAAGGGGATAAATTATTATTATATACTCTTAGTACATCGGGAAAAGTTTTTCGAAATCCGGCCCAGACTGGCTGTTGCTGACAGTCGTGGCATGGTCGTGCAACGGCCGTTCAACAGCCCCAACGGCCCTAATTTGCGCCTAACAGCCCTAATTTCGCGCTAACGTTGCTAACAGCCAAAAC